ATCAGTAATCAAAAATATTATCTGCTGTGCAACAAAGATCATCTTCTCTAACGATATATGGACACCTTGAGTTTCAGAGAAAGACTAGGCTGCTTTCAAAGTAAATTGCTAGTTGCTCTTACACAGCTGTTTAATCCTGAGAACTGCCAATCTTTAAGGAACAAAACTGAAAGGCACAAATCAAACAGGCTAGACAATGTGACAAAAATAACTATGTAAGACAAATATTCTAGTACCTATTCATTTTACAGTAGAGAACAATGTCAAAACCAATGAAGACTTTATAATAAAACATTCCCCATGCTCAAAAACAGAAATACAATTAACTCAGTACTTTATTTAGATGATAGTTTTTAATCACAATTAAGGTATTTGGATAGTGCAGACAAAATACACACATTAACAGAAGGAAAATATTTACTAAACTATTGCTTGCTTAACAGCAGAAGAGCTTGTATATTAGTAAGATGTAGACGGGTCTTCCCCCTTGGTTTTACTCTGAAGCTTCAATTGAAAAAATAATTAAAAAACAGTACTAACATCTACTAAGACTACTAAGACCAACATCAAACAAACAATATCTTAGCAATAAAGCAATCCTCCTTAAAAGAACATTAAAACCACAAACACTATATATAGTGTTTGTACACTATAATACATATATTTAGTTTATTCCAGGGAATCTTAAAAAAGATGTATTCTACATGACTAGGATTTGGGGACTTGGAAAAAAATAGAGTTAAAACTGAAATTTTCTTTTAAACGGCAAACAGCCAAACTGTGTGAAATAAACAATTTGGGCAAAAAATGGGAAAACAGAAAGAAGATGAAAAAAGTAACAAACTTCTTAAGAAGTTGAAAGAAGACTGCTTTAAGGAACCTGTTAGGATTTATAATAGTCAAGACCTTCCATCATGGTTTAACCCCAGCTGGCACCTAAGCACCACACAGCTACTTGCTCACTCCCCCACCCGGTGGGATGGGGAGAGAATCAGAAGGGTAAAAGCAAGAAAACTCATGGGCTGAGATGAGAACAGTTTAAATGATTGAAATAAAATAAAATTGTAATGAAAAGGAAAATAACAAAAAAAAAAGAAAGAAAACCCAAGAAAAACAGGTGATGCAAGTGAAAAAATTGCTCACCACCAACTGACCAATGCCCAGACTGTTCCCAGGCAGCAGCCCCCAACCTGCCTTCCCCCTAGTTTATGTACTGGGCATAACATCACATGGTATGGAATATCCCTTTGGTCAGTTTGGGTCAGCTGTCCTGGCTGTGTCCCCTCCCAGCCTCTTGTGCACCCCCAGCCTCCTCGCTGGCAGGGCAGTCTGAGAAGCTGAAAAGTCCCTGACTTAGTGTAAACACTGCTCAGCAACAACTGAAATATCAGTGTGTTATCAACATTCTTCTCATACTGAACCCAACACACAGCACTATACCAACTACTAGGAAGAAAATTAACTCTGTCCCAGCCAAAACTAGGACACCTTCTTATGGGAATTACCACCAACTCTTTCAACCTTCTTCCTCCCCATAGATATCTGATCATCTGCATCGCTTTTCATGAAACTCTTTCCAGTTGAGCTGTACCTCTTTATTACACTGCCAAAACTGAACCAAACATGCTAGGTGATGACTCACTAATACTGAGCAAAATGAAGTTAGAGCAAAAGTCTTAGGCACAATCTCTATAAAATTCACTGGGGGAAACTGCCTGAAGTCGAGTTCATTACGCATACCAAAACCACTGAATTCTTACATTATTAAAAAAAAATTCTCATGACCTCTGTTACAACCACCTCTCTTCCCTCCTTTAGGGGGAAGAATGGTTGCATCTCTACCCCTTTAGGCATCTCTGCTCTCTAGAGGCAGCTTTAACAATTCTGCCCAAGCTGCTTACACTTTCCCCTCCACCTGCTAGCAATACTGGATGCTCCTCTTAACCCTTCTTCTCAGCCACAGTCCTTCATTACTGATGTTCACAGTTCATGACTTAAGAATAAATGCAAAGCAATACCCATCTGTCCCAGACAGTCCTACTTAAAAACCTTTGTTTACTACTTACCCCTAGAAAGGAACTTATTTAGGAAGGTTATAAAAAAAAATATTGCTTTGTATTAAGGCAAGAGGCATAAAAAGTTAAAACACCCTGAAAACTGAAGGCTTCCTTCAAAGAAACAGCAGCTCAGGCTTCTCTCAGTTTTATTGCTTAGTTTTCAGATTTTTTGGCAAAACATAGCCAAAAATGTCTCAAGGGAAAAAAAAACCAAACCCAACCAACCAAAAACTGAATAGCAGACTATTCAGAAGTTGAAAATGTAAAGGCAAAAGAAATACCTTAGTTCGAGAACAGGGACTTCAAAGACTCTGCTGATAGCTACCAACAGAAAAAGACTGAGAAGATTACCAGCAGAAGTTCAAATAATCAGCTTCAATAGGTTTTAGGAAAAAAGGACACCATCATGGAAAACCCATAAGCCATAGACAAAGACAAGAGCTTCTTTACAAAAGTTCAGGCCTCATATGTCTTAATCCAACACAGAAGACCTCAAATAGCCTGGTTCTTTTAGTTTCTCTCATCTCTCATTAGATCTTCCAAACACAGCCAATTATTTAAACATTACATCCTACCTCAGCAACATGAGGCACAAGAGAACTTCTTGCTCAGAACTACACCCTTAGCATGCTGAAGAATCATGAACTGAGCTTTAATCTAGAACTGAATTCAAATTATAATAGCTTGGATTCTACCATTTGTCATTAAAACTCAATTCCAATGCAATACTTCCAGCTAAATCTTAAGTGACTTGTTCCATCTCCTGGTTTTGTTTTCACATTAGCTGTATGGCTATACACTTGTCATGTGGCTCACAACTTAACTTGGAGTTTCATATCAGAAATTAACACTCCTCTTGCTTCTCATAGGGGAAAGGAATACTTCTTGCATATTGACCAAATCATTCACTTGTTCCAATGTAAGAGCTGATACATTAGTGCAATGTTTTAACTATTTTTTCAAAAGTGAAAAAACTTCATAACCTGAGGTTGAATTCTCCAGTGCAATAAACTCATCTCTTAGAGCAATTTTATTTCTACATTCCACATACTTCTGATAAACTGAAAGATGCTCAAAGAGAATAGAGTCCAGCAAGCATTCATACAGCTTCCTTGAGGAAGATACCAAACAAAGAGCAGTTCAGACAAGGGAAGGGGCATCAAAATCCCACTATCCCACAAAATGCCTTTATACCATTTGCTTGGAATAAGAAACCAGAACGTAAATGGAGATATTCTCTAAGGACACTATACTGTTCTACGTAGTAGCCAGTTAGGTCATCTTCCTTCAACATTGCCCGATTTCCAACAGCTCAATAGCTGGGTCATTAACATAATCTGCTTAAAAAGTGATTAAACAGCTCAAACACTGACATACAAACAAACTTCTCAGATAGGATGTCTCCCTGGATATTAATAGCAGCTTATAATTCAGTCAACTGCCTTCAGTTGTCTGCAGCCACAGAAGTATAGCACTCATGAAATCTAGGTATTTTCCTATTAAAATCTTTGAAGAAAGTAGTAAGAAGTTCAGTATCACATCATAGTAGTATCTAGACTCCACTTCAGTAAAAGTTTGAGTCAAGTCTGGGGAAACAAACAAACAAAATCAACATTCTAAGATATGAAAAGTTTCAAGTCAGCTGTCAGATATCCAGATTATGAGGGCTAGTGGCTTAAATTCCCCTGTCTTTGCTCTGAAGGAAGCCTGTCAAAACTTAAATAAGAAATAAAACTTCCCCCAAAACCAGCCACCCCACCCTCCCGCCCCAGCAGAAGCCTTCCCCACTAGTGCAAGAAAAAGGAAGCAGAAACAAAACCAAACAGACATTCCAGAGTGATCAACATTTTAGATCTAACATTAGCTGGGAGGGAAGGGAAGGCAGAGAAAAACAAAAAGGGAACTGAAGAACAGAAACCACAAGTATGACAATGTATTATATCAAATACTGACTCACAAATTAGCATATACATACTTAATCTTTCAAGCTTCTTAAAGCCAGTAACTTTTTTTTTAAATTAAAATATTGTTTACAGATAACCTACTGAGTCTCTGCATGGCCAAATATTTTTTTGAATGTTCTAATTCCCAAAGAAATTCTGTGGGCTACCCTGAAAACTTGCAGTTCAGTGACTTACTTTGAAATAGTCGATTGTAAAGTAGCAATAAATTGCCAGTAGCCACCGAGTTCCTCAGCATACAGCAAACAAATAAGATATTCAGTGTGTTATCACTGAGATTTTTTAAGGTAGCTATAATGTTGATCCTGCTAGTATCAGAAATTCAGCTGACTAATTGCCTCATACACTCGATTTACTGAGATGCTAAGAGTACTGATCAACAAATCTTAATGGTTCTGGACGTTCATTTAATACTTTTCGGATAGAGTAAAGCATCATACCAGAATACCAACAGATATAATATCTTTTTCTCTCTAATTATGGAGTTTCAAAGAAGAGACAAAAAAGAACTCTGGAAGTATTGGGATTTTCTTCCATTTGTGTTTTTCTTTCTCCAATCCAAATACAGATTTGTGTGCTATTACTAGATTCCAGCTTTTTTCAAGAATGCACAGTGATACCAAGAATTATTCTATAAATACGAGCCATCTCATTCATTACAAGTGTCTCAGAATGAGGTACAAAAATACCATAATTTGGGCCAAAATATCTTAATATCAAAGCTTTCATTGTCTGCTATAAGGCATAAAAGTCATTCACAAAAAACTTTACATTTGCAGGACTGAAGCTTCAAATGTATACAATTACAGAAATAAATTAGTCATGTTTATTTTAAGCACAGTTCACAATAAAGCTATTATCAACTATTATCAGCTTAATAATAAATTCTGAAAGAAGTTTAAGTTCTCTGTAACACAGCCTGCACTTGCCATTATAATTTTTACTAGTTTTTTGATCCTCGAAAACTTATCAGATTAAATAGCAGGGACTAACATTTTGTGTCAATTTTTGTGTCTTTCCATCAAACATCTAAGAGATTTGCAGACAACAAAAGTAAAAAACTGAGAAAACACTGCTATCCCCATCTCCTTACAACAGAGAGAAAAAACAAAGCATGAATTGACTGGTTTTATGTTCTATACCATCATATTTCAGTTTAAATGACAGCAGCTCTTTAGGTTTTAAGTCCCATGTTTGTTTCTTTGTATAAGATTTCCAACTTCCCCCCATGGTTCAATTACATATCTCTTTATAAAAAGTTTTATGAAAAAATTCTTATTAAAAGCAATCCTGACACTTACTTTAAATACAATATAATCATAAATTTAGTTTGAGACTTTAACCTGCTTGAAAACTTAAAGGAAGGTTAAAGGGATTCAGTTTTAATTAAACATATCTGTAGCAACCTGAATCTAAATCTTAGGGTTTAGCAACCCAATTTCTCATCAGAATATTATTAAAGCTCATCTGAATTGAATGACAATTTTCCATTCCTCTAGGCTTTCTGAGTACATTATCTTGCCCTGTGGGAATGAATACGTTCTTGTGACTGATGAATATGATATATAGGACAAACACAGTTTTTCCACATTAAAATGAATTTCTTTTTAGTCTTTTGACTTCTTACTGCCACATGTCATTAGCATCTAGATACAACTACTCTAAGATATTAGTCCTAAATTTCTGCTTCATATCATATATTACATGAAATATTTTAAATGAAGTAGAGTTTAGAAAACCATTCCAGTTTTTAGCTACTATATTCTGGTATATGTGCACTTCCCCCCCTAGTCTGCCAAGCCAATTTACAAGTTATATCTTCTTTTCAAAATATTAGACATTAATTTCATTAAAAAGTCTGGTTTTAAAATGGCCATCTGTTACAATACATACTTAAAACAAACGCATTCTAGTCTCCAACTGTGTTGAGTAATTTAACTTAAAGACTATTATACCCATCACAACACATAAAAACCTTGAGCAATGGGTGGGGTTGCAGTGAGTAGAGGAGGGGTAAGGAGGAGAATCTTCTGTGTGTTTGTACATATAAAGTTGAGCTATTAAAATAACCTCATCTCGTCTTGCAGCCAGTATTGATAGCTGAAATCACTATTATCTAGCAGTAGGTGAACTACACTCATGATTCATTATTCAGTTTTGAATCAGAGGACATATGCGATTCCCATATTAAAATTCAAGTACTACACTAACCTATTTTATCAATGTCTATTTCAATGAAAAGACAAGGAGTATTTCAAGGAAAGCTACTCTATCATTCACTAGGTTAACCACATCAAACAGGATCATGGCTGAAAACAGCATTGCACTAACTTTTCTGTTTGTCTTCTGCATCAAAACCAAAGTATTTTTATAAAAATAATCATTTTCTGTAGACTCAAATTATCACAGTGAATAGTGGACACAGACCCTCCCATTGAGTTCTTAAAGAAAAAGAGAAAATAGAAATTTCTGACAATTAAAATAGATGTATTTTATGACTGTTTGGAAACTGAAGCACAATGTGAGTATTTAAACTCTTTTGCTTATTCTATTTATTAGTGTATTGATCTTAGGACTATTGAAAAAAAACCAGTACTAAAACAGATAGCAATGAAGCACTAAAAAAACCTTAGCAATGGATCTGAAAAACACTGCCAGGGTAGTCCATTTATTTCTGCGCACATTTTCACAGAAGCTTAACCACAGTACTTCAGAAAGCACCACCAGATACTACTATGGCATATGTAATGAGTCTTATCATTTTGAAGTTATACAAGCACATACAATTTCAAGTTTATGACTTCTTTCCTCAAATACAGAGTTTGTCCTTTTAATAGTTTCTTCAAACAGGGCTAAGAAAGAAGGCAAACTCAACATTTAACTTTCTGTTTAAGCAGAAGTAGTTAACTGCCTCAAATTGGCAATTTATATACTTTTTGGTAATATAAATACACACACTGAACATTCACCAGATCAGTATTTCCACAAAACAAAAGTTGGATAAATAACACTGCATACTTCTGAAATGCAGTTAAATGAACAAAATCATTTCACAGATAAAGTCCCAGTTCACTAAGAGCCAGCAATGAAATTCCTAGTACCTTGATAGACTAACACCTAATCCTGAAGAAGGGATAGAGTAGAGAGATGAAAGGGAAAAAAAGAACAAAACTCCTCAAACACCCCCCCCAAAAAAAAAAAAGAGAGAGTAAAATTAGTATTACAGGATTTAAGAGCAAAAATGCATGTCACGTCCATTTAAGAATTTGCAGAACATGATTTGAGTGTAGCGAGCATTCTGAATAAGGAGCAAATTTATAATTTTGTCTCAAGTTCAAAGGGAATCATCTTCCTGGTTCTCAGAGTAAGCAATGCAATTACTCCATGCAATCCTGCCACCATCCTGTTTTGCTACCATCCTTCCCTCTCCTCCCCTCAAAACAGAGCACCACCTATTCTTTCACAAGTAGGTAGTTTGATTTTAGGATACCATTTTCCAGCAGGACTTTTGTCTACACTCTCATGATGAGTGGGAATTCCAAAGGGCCTTGGTCCTTGGGCAACACTGTTGTTAGATCAGTAAAAGAAGATAAAGCAGATTATTCTACTGTTATTTCTTCTCCTCTGCATACAGTTTTATAGAAGCTTAACCGTAGAGCTTCAGGAAGAACCTCAGGTGGCTTAGACATAGCCTAAAGTTGCAGCGTGATCAGACTAGAACCTTTACATTGCCTTATGGGTATTTAAAAAAGAAAAGATATGCCTAATACTGACCATACAATAGAAACACATACATTCTTAGGCTACTGCAATGTAGAGTAAAATATTATTAGATTAAGCTGTGACATGCATTTTTACTATCAGAATTTCATCATTGCTACAAAATTGTCTTTAAGTGAAGAGGATACTCATCTGAAACATAGTGCAGGAAAGAAGAAATATTCCTAAAAATACTTACTGAAGTCACCTGCGAGAAACACTGCTTCTGCTCCCGGTGCCCACTCTTTGCAATATATTCCGCCATCAACAAATTGGTTAACGCCAAAGGTTTTGTAACTTTTTGAAAATTTATCAAGGCCTCCTTCATTTTCCTCAATGTTCTTCAAGCGGTTATAAAACAGAGAATACCTTTCAATGAAAATAGATAAAAGATTTTTTTAGAAAGTTTAGTAAGTGCCTTGCATTAACAAGTGTAAGAACATTAAAAAAATATTGAGACACACCATCACACTACATCCTAAACCGGTAGTATCAGATTCACCGTCCTCTACAGAAATAGAAAAAACATCAAATACAACCATACAATTTTTCCATGGTTGTTACACAGTGCAAAGTTGCAATCTTCACGTTTGTCTGTATTTTCTCTACTTTATGGGAAGTTTGCACTTTTAAGTCTAAGACTACAACTCCTGATTGGCAGTCAAGAAATCATAGTATAACTACACAACAGGAAAACTTCACACTCTGAATAGCCTAGCACTTTTTCCTCCATCTTATTAATATCAGCCATAGGCCTCCTAGGGAGAATTGTATAGGCCTGCTACATCTCTCACAGCCAGTTTTAATAAACAGACAATCTCAGGACACTGAGAAGTCTGCAGTACAGCATATAAGTATGGAGAAACTAGTCCGACACTTACAGAAAGCAGCTCCTTCGGCAACCTCTTTACAGAGACCATCAGCAAGACTTTGCAGTCCCCTGACACTTCAATGATTTGGAAAACAAAATTACCACTTCATGGAAGTAATTATTTGGACCATACCCTACTTATACCAGTAGGGATTGAAATCATAGAATCATTTAGGTTGGAAAAGACCTTCAAGATCATTGAGTCTAACCATCAACCATGCCCACTAAACCATGTCCTGAAGTACAACACTCACTTTTTGAGTATCTCCAGGGATGGTGACTCAACCACTTCCCTGGGCAGCCCATTCCAATGTTTGACAACACTCTTAGTAAAAAAATTTTTCCTAATATCTAACCTAAATCTCCCTTGTCTCAACTTGAGGCCATTTCCTCTTGTCCTATCTCCAGCCACCTGACAGAAGAGATCAGCACCCACCTCACTACAACCCCCCTTCAGGTAGTTGTAGAGAGCAATAAGGTCTCCCCCTCAGCCTCCTCTTTTCTAGACTAAACAGCCCCAGTTCCCTCAGCTGCTCCTCATAAGACTTGTGCTCCAGGCCCCTCACCAACTTGGTTGCCCTCCTCCGAACACACTCCAGGAACTCAATGTCTTTAAATGCCCTAAACCTCTAACGTAAGAATTTGCTAGTAACAGCTTGGAGGTTTTCAACACATTTTCTCAAAGAAGCTCCCGACAATTCAAGAAACACACATCAGGTATACAATATAAACAAGAGGGTCAACTTTAACTCCTCAGATGTGAGCTATTATGTGAAGAAGCAGAGCTAAAAGCTTCAGTTAAGCATTTAATTAATGCTAACTGTATGGGGGTTTTGTTTTAGATAAGAAATCCCCAATTTAAATTAGAAATGTGTTTGTGTTCTCCATAAATGGAAAAGTCTTCTGAAATGTATGAAAACTAACAACAATCCCAGCAAGAACATCTTGTCTGCCTCATTACACTTACTTTATTTTGAAAAAGGAAATAGAAACAGTAAAGAAGCAAAGCAGCACTATGGGATGGCACCTTATTGGTTTAAAAGAAAAAAAATAAAAGAGGTAGCCTGTTTGCAGTGTCAGGACTTTGACCCCGCTCCGTGATTTGTTTTAAAGTTTTGTTTTAGAATTAGCCCTTCATTAGTTCAAAGTAGAAGATTAAAATGTCTGTTTACTGGTTAAGGTAAAATAACATTACTTGTATTAATTTAGAGTACTATGACTGCTTTCAAGGTTCATCTCCCAGCAAGTTTTTATTATTAAGACTGATGCTTACTTTTAAAGACAGCAAGATTTCAAAATGTCTCAGGATACACTATAGCAAATATACTTAAATCTTTTGCCCATCCACCTGCATCTTTCCTTTAAAATTTGCTCATGGGTATAATCCTCAGAAGTGCCTTACTAACTACTAATGCTCTGATAATCAATTTCATTTATAGTTCTTGAGGAAGAATATTTTGTAAGATTTCCAAGTATAAGTTTATTACATATATACACAAACCCAGTTGACTGACTTCAGTTTGAACCAACTGCAATCAAAGATTTATAAATAAAATTTAAATACAGAAACACAGAGCAAGTCACAAACAGCCTCAAAAGTTCAACATATGACATTGGGTAAAGTCAAAATTACTCCATTATTGAACAGTTCTCCTTGGGAAAAAAAAAAGTCTTTTGATTTGTATAACTTTAAAATTTAAGCCTTCCTTTAAAATATATCAGTTCTATTATACAAGAAGGTAGTGCTATCTGCAAATTCCTATTTCTCAGCCATACCTAAGCGGTTTCAAAATTGCTGCCTGTCACGTGAATTTATTTTTAACTAGTTCCACTGCTGCTGAAGCAAAAACCCTTCTGTATATGCTATAGGTAGCTGTTGTAACTCCAGAAAAGATCTAACTGAAGCAATGAGTTTGACACACTTGAAATAGAAAAGGTGTTCTGGAATAGGTTATCTACTTAAAATTAATCTTTTTCTCCCCATTCTTGGTACAAATACATATTCACAGCTTTAAGAACACCTTTGTCTGGATGGGGTATTTCCCACATTCATGAAGAAGTGGACGAAGTGGTAAGCTTCATCTTTAAACAAAAGTCAGTCATACAAATCTTTGAAAGCTGAAGAAGGAAATGATACATTTATTAACAGAGAGGAACAGCAGGTCACAGAGAAGGACTGAAATCTCTGCAGAAAAGAAAAAGGCTATCATATACTTCATATAACCTGGAGGCACACGCATGCTGATGGCCTACTGCTCTTCCTCGATGAGTCCTCCCTGGCAAAGAAGAATCAAGCCCATTCATCTCATTCCAAAGAAATAAGCATCAAACAAATTCAGGATTTGAGAGTGGCTTTATGGGGTCGGAGGAATGACAATGGACTTTCAGAAAGCAATTATGTGATTTATATCTTTGGGAAATATCACTGACAGTAATACACACGTTGTAAGCTCTGGATTCTTGTTACAGAAGCACTGAGAGTACATCCACTGTTTCAATTTTTGTCTTTCAGTAAATTCAAAGTTTAAGCAAATAAAGACACCATGACACTTAATATGTGAAATGATGATGAGTATTGCTGAAAAAAAAAAAAAGATTACTCTTTTTGCTCACTTTGCAATAGTGGTGAGCAAGATTACATGCTCAATAAAAATCATTTATTTTGGAGGATGGGCAGGGTCAAGGAAGGGAGCAGAGTTGAAAAGTTGTTGACCGGGGATGTAAAACACTATTACAATAATAGCTTTTTATATAGGACAGATTTTGAACAAGTAATACAGCATCATGTACACTGAGTAACAATGCTCCTTCATTTTATACACAAGGACACTGCTTGTCACAGAGCAAATTCAGGTTATTACTGTTGCATCATCATTGCAGAAATCATGATTTTTGAAACTAGTACTCTCCATAATTGTTTAATTTATAATCTAGAAAGCATTCAGATTTAATTTTTTTTAACCACCTCCTGGAATTATCAAATATAGATTTGATGTTTGCTCAAAATTCACAAAAAAACCACTAGCTTCTGAAATGGATCAATTACTTGTGTTTCATCTCCCGAGAGGAGTTTTTAGAATAGTTCACAGCACATCTGGGCACAGAACAAGGTTACTTGTCATAGAAGGTCTTGTAAAACAGCAGAAGCATAGTTCTGTATCCTGTTGCTGCTTTAAAGTTAAGCACATGCTCATGATCCAGATTTAGGAAACTTAAGGTTTTGCTTTCACATAAATTTTGGCTTTCATTTCTACATTACTGAAGCTTGTTAAACTTTTTTTTTTATCTTCCAAACTGAAACCCTAGGATTACACAGAAAACAACAGGAAAAAAATTTTGTTCAGCAATACCAAAGATTTAATATTGTTCACTAATAGCATCCCAATGTTTAAAGAGAAGAGACAGACATGAAATTTTTAAGACAGCATTCGTGATCCCCTCTTAACACTGAAAGTTATGTCATGTTCAGTTATGCATATATAATCACATGACATATATAGTCAGACAGGCTCTGGACACATGGGACACATTTCAAAGGTGACACAATCTTGTAAAATTCTGGAGATGTGAACAGAGTCAACAACAGCGTCCAGAGCAACAAGTCAGGACAAAAGGCTGACTTCTGCCTTCATACTTCTCAAGTGTTCACAGCTTAATGAGCAACTGCAAAGTCATAAGATTTTTCTGCCTACTTCCCTGCATTAAAGTTGACACTGAAGAAGATTACAAGGTAAAAACTGTACCCAGGTATCCCTTGAAAAGTACAACCATTACCTTTGGGGAAAAAAAAAACTAAATAGAGCAACAACAGGATCCACAGAACTTCAGGTACAGAGGGTCTGAAGTAACTGGAAAAAAGTTGTACATTAAGTTGCTCACTATGCCCAGGTACAACACCACACATCTGACAAGTGCAGAAGGGGGCTGCTTTTGGTGTATTCCTTGCTCCTGGAGTTAAAAGCAAGTTTTTTAATTCAAGTTCCATATCCATTCATGTCACCTCTGCTAACAGACCAATAGGGTTTAAAACTAAAATACCAAAACTAGATGTTTTCATCAGACTTACTGGAAAGAAAAGACTTCACAGTCTTAGCATTTCCCCAAGCACACAAACACCCAGCTTGGAACAAGACATTTGGTAACAGAATAGCTCTTCTACAGCAGCTCCCCCCAACCTTCACTATTTCACTGTGAAACACTGGTAATGGTAAACATCATTTGAAACAGGGTCACAACAGTCTTTTCCTATTGTTACATTCATAATTTGTAACACAGCATTGCTTTAAATCCCATGCTTTATATGCAGCTTTGTTTAAAGCCCTACAATGGAAGTGTAGGAATTGGCTGACTTTCTGTAAAAGCAGGATTAAAACATCAAACATGAATTAGTATAATGGCTATCCAGAAAGCAAGTATCTTCCCAATAAAATAACCTTCATAGTGAAGGAGCAAAGACAATATTAACTCAGAAGCCACTTCCACGGTTTATATTTCAGGT